TCACAGAATAAACAACAAGCTCTAGCTGGAACTCGCTGTTAACTGCACCCCACCATCTCCATCAAGCTACCATTGTTCAACAACATACTTCTCTACAGATTGCTCTTTATGAAATCGACCAGACACAGAAGGCCAAAAGCCCAGCTGCATTCAGAACCCTATGAATGAGAGAAAATGTCACCTTCCCATCTTGTGTGAGCAGATTCACCTCACTGTGCTGCCTAATACTGTTGAACATAGTGCAAGCTGCTGTTCATGGAAGGATTTACCAGTATCATAAACCCTAGTCATGAGAAAAGCTTTGCACTGCTCTGTCATAAGTTAGGCTGCTTCAAGTCCCAGTGACAGCATTTGCTGTAGATCTGGTCAACGGAAACTGTTTGCAAAAGTGTAGAAAAAGAATAGGACAGGATAAGGATGATCCTCATAATGCAAGCCAACCCAACATGGTCTAACAGATGAGACCCAAGTTGCTAGCTGGAATATTAGGTGAGGAGCAAACAGCTGCTGTGACATTCTAGCATTCACCATCCCCAGAGCCTGGCTGTTCACCATATTCAGCAACCAGTGGCATCAATGCCATGTTTCCACAGGTCTGGGATGTGTATCATGACTATCTCAAACTGAACGGCATTCCACAAAACTTTTGCATTGTTCTCTTCTTTATACACTCATTACCATTTAAGAAACAATGCTTTGTCATTTTCCACACATGACCCAAGCATTTATTTTTAATTGATTGTTTGGCACCCCTTAAGAAGTTATTATTGCAGTTTTACTGCTTCTCAGTGTATGCATGCATATTTTACTAAATAAATCACTTCACTGCATCTAATTCAGCTTTGCCAAAGCCTCCTGTCACGATAGTGGCCTTTTCCTAACCATTAGGACTAGCAGGTGTAACTGCTAGTCTTTATTAAAATAAGTTGCTCAACTTTATTAGTAAAGATCGGCAGCAGTAATACTGTTGAGAGGAACAAGAAAACACAGGGGTGCATCATTTTGAGACTTTTGCAGCTACTTGTAGTTAACATGCTGCCTGACCTTTGTATATCTATCATATTTATTTTCAATTTTGCAATTAAACATTTGAACTGGTTCTTCTTTTTTTTTTTTTTTTTTAACGTACAATATAATCTACCACTTTGTGTAGCTGCTCTTCCCATTAAGGGTCTTGGCAGCTCAGAGCCTATCCAGGGAAACACAAGAGGAAAGACTGGACGGCCGTTCCAATGCAGGTGTGATTTAAAATTAGTACCTTTTGAGTTGGTGGATGAAAAAATCACACAGTATGCAAGATATTGTCAAACCAGATATCAAAGGAGTTGATTCACACAGCTATCTTCTCCCACACAGCCTATTTCTGTTTCACCCACAGTGATGTACTTATTGTACATATGTGTAAATTCCACTCATCACATTCACACACCTAACAAGCTGACAAGAGACAAGCATACTGCTGGTATCACTTTGAGGAAAACAGAAACATTCACCATTCATCTAAAACATTCACTGAAAAAGAGTTTAACTCTTGGTAGAAGCAATCACTCACACTACAGAATACACCACATAGAGTACATGTCAGAGGAATACAATGCTGGGAAATGATATCTTATTTCTGTAGTGCTTTAAAAAATAAAGATATGTAAAGATACATACAAATTTTAATTAAATAACAGACCATTATCCATCCATTTTGTAACTGCTTGATCTAATACGGGAACAGACAATTATATGAGTATAAAATAACATTTTGTAGACCACTGTGCGAATGTAAATAATATTTCATAAACTACTTTAACAAATGTTCGTGTTAGGAAATAACTGCGGCATAGAAATGTGTTTAATTCTTTTGCGTTAGTTGGTTTTGTATCTGTGACTGTTAGCAATCAGTTGCTGTACCTCATAGTAAAATCTGGACACCATGTGGATGCAGTTTCTGTCCGTTTGTTTTGAACAGGACCTTGATATCTATCACACTGAAGAGGAAGATATTTCACCAACAGTGTCTTTTGCTCTGTTGCTCAAGGGTATAACAGCAGCAACCCAGCCAGGACTGAGTGCAGAGGCCAGAGACCTAATCATTACTCCACACTGCTACCTGATACTAGCAGATACATCTTATCTAGACACTGGTAAATACTAAACAGCTGCTCGAGGCATTGTAAAATATGTGACAGTTTTAAGCTTGTAGCTCAATATATGCCTGAAATCTCATTTCAGTTAAAAGATACTCATTAATGTGATTCTATGTTTGTTACTAAGTCACATACTGTTGACTTGTAAAGACCATAAACTATACAGTATAGTAGTTTACAGTATATAATATGGTAATTAGTAATGTATGCTTAAGTAACACAAGTTCTTCTTAGTCCACTCTATTAGCACAATCTTCTCATAACCACACAAAAAGCATGCAACCACACAGCAGTTTTGTACTCTTTAGCTACAAGGAAGGCTAAAATAGTGAAAGATGTTTGTTGTTAAAAATTCATTGCTAGACAAACGTAAAGAAAGTTTTTACTTTTGCACAAATTTTAACAGTGGAAAATCAATCCAACCGTCTGATGTCATATTATGTTAAAATTCTGAATATTATTTAATAAACATTAAATAATACACACATACACAAAATATACAGCTAAATAATTTTAAATACTAAATGTTAATATAACTACTGTTAATAGTATATTAATCGTATTTTTAATAGATCTGTCTCTCCATTTGAACTTATTTATTTCTGTCCATGAATCAGCATCAGGACCAGCAATAAAAAGCTTAATAACAACAATTATAACAGTAATAAACAACATCTCCTCATCTTATATATTTGTAATGCTGAAATTGATGTATCATTTTTCAGTTTTTTATAAATGGGGGGATTAACAATGGATTTACAAACTACCCTCATCAAATCAATTATTATCATCATCGTTCTTATCATCACAACATTGTTTCTGACGGACTACGACAGATTCTGAAATTAACACACACAAAGGGCTGTTTACAACACTGTTACACTGCCGATTATTTATCATTTCAGGATGATTATGATACTGCAAGGAAGACTTACTGCTGCACAAAGAGGTTTAAAAAGGTGCCGAGCCGCAGAGATGGTTGCATGTAAAAGGTCACAGGGGAAAATACAGGACCAACACAATCAAATTCCCTCAGTCTTCTCTCTCTTTCCACCCAGCAATTATTAGATAATAACCGTGCATTTCATTATTCATGCCTTTCTAAAACACAGAGGCTTTTTTCCAAGCCCATTATGTGTGAGGGAAGCTCATTCTGGGTCTAGGGATACACATGCTATTTCAGCAGTAATGAGAGGCATCGATTTCTCTTGCCAGGAATGTGCTCCTTCAGGGGATGTTGCGGTTAAGCCGGTTTTCTTTGGTCACACGAGCCCAGCCAGCCCGCCTCGAACCTCCAGCCAGCTCCAGCACTCCATATCTGCCGGCACACACCCACCTCCCTGCCTGTTGTAACTCCAGGCTGTGTCTCATTCCACTGCCTGTCTATGACAAGCCCTTTGTCCTTGCTGGGAAATTTTGCACTATAAAAAGGCATTTTTCTGACGTTTTCTCAGAGCTGAAATTACACAGAATCCATAGACTGAAAGACTTGTAGGTATTTGTTAGGCGTTGCTGAAATGTGCTCAACAGATCCGACTGATTAGTCAAACATTTTCACTCCACGACATGTCCAATTGAAAAAAAGAAAAGGTCTGGTTTGTTTGCATTTTGCACTATTATCCAATTTCTACCTTTAAAATCAAGAGAACAGGAAACAACCCGCAAACTGTAATCCTGGTCATTGGCTCAGATTTTTCTCTTAAGACCCCAAATCACAGGCCTGACACTGCAAGGAGTGCAATTTAGTCATTAGTCACATCAGATTAATTATAGCGAAAGAGCAGAACTTCAAAACCGGGACCCACACTAGAGCAACCACAGCCATTACTGTAGACGAATCTTTAATTACTAACATTATCCACACCGGGCTAGTCACACAGAGCCTGAACCAGCTTCTATTGCTGGAACAACCAGTGCATTGTGCTTTATCAAGCCAGAGGATGATGGTGAGAGAAAGCACTCAGTCCATTTTTTAATTACTTATTTTCTTTAACTATGATCTCATTTTAAATAAGTAAACAAATTAAGCCGGGGTCTTTAAATAAGAAACATGTTTCTGTCAGTATTCCAGATAGGATTTTTGTCAATCACATGACCAGGCACTCAATACACTAATCATTAAGTGGAAAGTGACTTCTGGTTCTGCTATTCAGCGGCAATAAATTAGCCTCATTTCAGCTAATTAGAGAACCTTCAGAAAAAGCTGACGAGCTGTAATTGTAACTCTAAGGGACAAGCATAATTACGAAGAGGACTGTACTGTACAGTACATGGGGGCTGCTACCAGCGATAGCAGGGGGGCGCTGTTGGCCCTGGCAGTGTTTCGCTCACCTGAGCAGGGCGCTCGTCTGCTTCAGAGCCTCAACGTCCTGGGGCAGCACTGGCACAGGGGGTGCTGGAGGAATGCTCGGACTGCGGCTCTCCAGCCTCTTCTCGGCTTCTGCAGGGAAGGGAGTGGAAAGACGACGCGACACAGTGAGAGAAAAATCAGGACTCCGCTAATATCGAAGCACTTATTTTGGGTACAGTGGGTAAACGCTGACCCACCACAAAAGTCAAATCACAAGGTCTGCAGCTTGTACACAAACTGTCCATTGGCAAATCATGTCCGCAGTGGCAGTACAGCAAACTACATGCATACGATGGAATTCAGTTATATCCATCGATCCGTTTTCTAACTGCTTCTTTCAATTCAGGGTGGTGGGGGAGCAGGAGCCTATCCCAGCAAGCAACGGGCGCAAGGCAGGGTGCACCCTGGGTGGGACGCCAGTCCATGGCCGGCCCGAGATAAATTATGCAGCACCATTAAAATGAATCAAGGAGTCCGCAGCAGAAATCAGAATAACTCTGCACGTATTATAATGTGCGCACAATTTTATTAAAACACCTGCAGCACAAGACAACTTCACGTGAGGTACTTTAGGGCAGGTAATTCATGCAGCAGGTTGTAGGTGTCTTTTTAATACTGGCAACGGCTGATGACTAAACAAAAAAACAAGCTTGAAAAAAAAAGAAAATGTTAAGCCTAGGCATCTGACTGGATTATGAACAACATGGCACTATGGCCACTGATGCTAGGAGCATCCCATGGCTGGATCAGAGCATCACTTCCGGCCTTTTTGAGGTTATTTTACTTACAGGGTATTTGTTATTGAATTTGCAGTAAGGAGAAAGACTCCACAGGTTTGGAGTAACGACTGTCAAGCAGCAAAGTGTAGCAAAGCAGCTGCACTGGAGAGACTTGTTGTGGCAAATCTCCACTGTAGAGTAGGACTGCCCTCTGGTGACTAACAACAGAGCTGCATGTCACCCTGAAGATAAAAAAACTGTGGAATTGGAGGTTGGAGCATCGGAAACATGACTATATCTAAGGTGCAGTGTGGTAAACAGTTACATCAGTGCTCATTTTAGGATCTGTCCCTTAACATCCCTTTCCTTTCCAAAGCCGAAGCAGTCCCAGCCCCACGTTCTCCACTCCCTCTTCAGGAAATGCGGTTTGGGGAAGCATTTCCTCATGAACTTTTACCGCAGCACCATAGACAGTGTCCTCACCGGCGGCATCACTGTGGTGCAGCAGTACTACCACGCCTGACAGAGACGCACTACACAGGGTTGTGGCAACGGCTCAGAGGATCATAGGATGTGATTCACCATCAATCGGTGAGATCCACACCCTCTGCTGTCGCAATAAAGCCCAATCAATCATTCAGGATCTCAGCCATCCTGGCCACAAACTGTTCTCCCCCCTACGCTCTGGCAAACTATATCGTTCTATTAAAGCACAGACCACTAGACTCAAGAACAGCTTCTATCCCACTGCAGTGCGCATCCTCAACAGCTCACTGCAGGGCCTCAGACTCAACACACATCTGCACTCCACACTTTTTACATAGTTCCCCTTTTCTTTCCTCTCAGTCTCACTACTACGTATTTCTTTATTTTTCCACAATATATTGATTGTTCCTGTCGTCCACATTGTGTGGTGTTGTGTGTGTCCCGAGAGATCAGCCCGATTAAGAATTCCAACGTGCACGTACATATGGCAATAAACTCCTCTGCTCTGTACTCTCTCCTCGACGCCCCCGGCCCCCCTCCTCACCGCGCAGCCTGGCCTCCAGCGCCGCCCGCTCCTCCTCGCCCGCCCGCTGGCTCTGGGCGGCCCTGGCCAGCCGCTGCTCCAGAGCCACGATGGTGCGGGCGTGCTGGTGCACCTGCTCCCTGTACTCCGCCTCCCGGACCCCCTGCCTCTCCTGCTCCAGCCGGGCCCCCCTCTCTTCCGCTGCCCTCTCCTTCGCCGGCCAGCAGGCCTGCTGCCTCTGCGCCTCCTGCTGCAGATCCGCCTGGAGAGAGAGGGGGAAACACAGGCGTCACACGGCGCCGCACCAGCATGTGCTCCTGCACGCAAAAAAAAAAAAATTAAAAAAAAAAACCAAAGCTCAGTACACTATAGATACGATAACTCACCAGTCCAGTTGAATAATCTCACTTTCTTTGCAAATGTTCGTTGTATCAGAGATGTGGCTTTTTTAGCAGATTGGAGCAGATTCTCAGAGGCCTAAGGTTATATTATATCACTAAATAATTTGCTGATGATTGTTTTTTCAGCAACAGAAAAATTTGGGGGTGGGGAGGCGATTTCCGGGAGATTATGGATGACTTGCGGGAGTCAGGGAAGAGACGCTGATTGCTGGGAGACTCCCGGAACTTCAGGGAGACTAGGGATGTCTGCAACAAGTTTCACTCAAATAGTGCACGAGTAGGGAGCTGCATCAGTGTGCGCAGGCTGCAAAGGGACAGGTGAAGGTTCATTGGGTGCTGTTAGGTAAAGAAAACGGATGAATGGAGAAGATTTGGAAGGAGCTGAAAGAAGGAGGCAAGCTGTGATTCAACTTTAAACATAACAGGAGGTGGTTTGAAAGTCTAGTCTTGGGGCAGATCGCTGTGAAGAGAAGGAATGCTAGTTCAGTGACAGAGAGTGCAGGTAGCTCAGGCAGGAGGAGAAGAAACGAGGGAAAGAGATCTAGAGATGTTTCTACTCTCCATCCCCCCTGAAGAAGGCTCTGCAGCTGGAACGTACTGTTTCCTTTCAGCTTAAAATACAGTATACCTCACATGTGGGATACTGGCAGGCTCTTCCAGAATGTGCACGGCCCCTAGACCAGCAATACAACACTGGTCTCCACATTCCCAAGCCCTAGAGAAGGGCGAACTGTCTGGGGTCGACTCTCCTCACTGGAGCACACCGGTCCGTTGCTGAGGGGGGCTCCTGTGTAAGTGATGGGGGAGCTGCTGGAGGCATCACCAAGCTTTGACGGGTTTGGAAAGGGCTGTAACAGAACAGTGGGATAGCCTGCCTCCTTCACCACTGCGCCGAAGTGATTCCTAATCCTGAAATGCGCAGGCGGACTTCTCAAATTCAATAAAATACAAAAAACAGTGAGGACCCGCGTCGCCCCGGTCAGCCCTGCCTCACCTCTCTCTCCCTGGCCGACTGCAGCTCTCGGCTCAGCTCCTGCTGCCGGCCAGTCAGGCTCTCCACCTCCTGGCGTTTGGCCTCCATTTCCTGTGTCGAGAAAGCCGGAATCACCTATTGTACGTCCCCCGCAACACAAGAATAGGCCCCATCAACAACATTTCTTCTTGTTTCAGGTCAAAAAAGGACTTCAAAGCAAGTGTCTCGAGAAGGAAATTAATATTTGTACCATAATCTATGAAGAGTAAAAGCATATACTTCAGAGTAGTTCTCAGGTGCCTGATAGACTTCCTCAAAACACTCTTTTGAGGAACACTCTTGCAAATTTCCATTTTGTTCCTTCATGTGTGATTTTCAAATGACAATCGCTTCATTGTTTTCGCTAGGAGCGTAATTTAACAATTTTCTGCTTCCTGCCAGCGTGTTTTGTTGCTGACAAGTTTACACCCAGCTGAAGCTGAAAGTGAGCTTCGAATGGTGATTCCCAGCTACCCTGGCTGCACAGCGGGACAGACTGTGTATCCGGGCACAGGGAGTCTGATCATGGCGAACTGTTTCCATGGGAACTTCGAACCCTGGGGGGAGGTGGGAGGTGGGAGGCCGGTTACCTGTGTCAGGTGCCTGCACTGGTCCTCCACGCGTCCCAGCTCAGAGCGCTGCTCAGACAGGGCCTGCTGCAGACGATCTCTCTCCTGCTCCCTCTCTTCCAGCTGCTGCAGGAGCTGCAGTGCACACACAAGCAGCACTCAGTTCACACCCCCCCAACGAGACACAGAGAAAACCCCCTTTCAGATAAGCACCCAAGTGATGGCGGGTTATGATGGAAGATGGTGTTTTGGGTTTGTTCTGACTATCCTGGAATAAATGAGTAGAATAGACTGTGTCAGTGCACAGGGAGTATAATCACTGTGAATTGTTTCTATGGGAAGGTCGAATCCCTGAATCGCTCAAATAGTGCTCAGATCGGTGATTAAGGAAATGCCAAAATCAAATGCTTATTTCCAGGGAGATTCTTTTTTACTCCAAAAAACTCCAAATATTTATCAAGTGAAATATACTGTTTATTATATGTATTTTCTTAGAAAACTACAAAAAAAGAACACATATATCACACATATATAGATCTGTGCAATATTATAAAGCTTATGAATTTACTGTTCTGCTTTCACACCACGAGTGAAAGCTACAGATTTGATCTTTTATGGTATAATAATCATACAGGGAAAGAATTATGATTAAACAAAATTTTTTTGCAAGTTGTTCAACGAACCCAATTTGCTTTTTACATAAACATAAGGGAACCAAGAGAGGTCCTTTGAATAAAGAGAAAGAATGACAAACTCTGCTCGGCAGAGTTTAATTAATTTTTTATTCAGTAACTACAGGTTCGATGTTGCAGGCTTCCGTTGCACAACAATGTCCTTGAATGTGCAGAAAAAACATTCCTCAACAAATATGCAACATTCAGGACATGAAAAGTCATTCAGAACAGAAGCAGGGTTCCGCAGGGTGCCCTGTCACATGTCCTGTAATAACAGAGTCCCACTGGGCTCATGATTGCAGGGCTGAGTGACCTGTAGTTTAGCTGCCCCTGGGATATGTCATTACATATTTTTTCAATTTTGTTTATTGCAAGTCACGTTCTAGCCTGTTAGATAATTCTTGCCATTTGATGTGGGAACTTATGTGGGAAGTATATATGTGTATGTGGAGGGGGTCAGAGGGCTGTGGGTTTTAAACAAATTGTGTTAGTGTCAGTGGGGGTAACTCTTCCCGACACCTCAAACAGCAACAGAAAATAACCAGTGAGAAATTCCATAAACCCCTGATTATACGTGATCAAGAGAGCTCTTTGAACTATGATACACGTGTTGTATTGCACTGTGGCGTATCATACTTTGTTCTGCTAATGGTATTAACAACACGGCACAACTAAAAAAAGAAAAGGAATGCCTGGAATAAAGTTTCAAGAATTAACCTAACGTTATCA